TTCAAGTCCTGTTTTATAGTGGAGATTATTAGTTATTAATTGATAGATGTGTATGCTAATTTTTTTTTTCCCTTAAGTTTCATATTTTGAAGTCAATTTGCATAAGGTACTGAAATCACTAAAATATTATTATTAATGAACTAACATATAGAAGATTTTCATTAAGAGTGCTTTTGTGAATTAATAAACTAAAGAACACTTTTTTAAGTTTTACATTTTAAAATAAGATGGACTTGAAAAAATCAATCATTCTTAGCTATTAAAATACTAAGAATAATATTAAAAAGACTTAAATATCTCTAATAAATTAATATATAAAAAATGTTTTAAAAGGTATTTGAATAATTTTATAAACAATCATGACTTTTAAAATGTTAAGGGATTTTGATTTTAACATTTCTCTATAAAATAATAATTAATAATAAGTGTGGAAATTATCTTAACATCTTTTAACATGATTATGTGCTACTTTTCAATAAGGAAAATCATATTGTTAAACCATCATTCAAAATTATAAACTTATAATTATGAAATATCATTAAATGTATATAATATTATCACTTATTAGTGAGTTCTTGAATAAATATAGATAATTATATCTCGATACATTATAATTATGAATTTATAATATCACAAATTGTAAATATGAGGTGTTTGTTTTAGTATTTTGTAAATAACTATCATTTATTAACTTTAAATGAAACAAATTATCTATTTCAAATTATAACTAATAACAATTATTAACTACTAAATATTTGCTATCTAATATCAACTACTTTTAAATAATTAAATCCTAACACCCATTATATCATTTTTGTTTTGAAAAATCCTTTTTATTAATTACCTAATAGCAAAATTTCAAAAAAAAAAAAAAATTGTGACAACTGTGTTGTACCCGGCCAAAATCTTAAACACAGCCAAGATGATTTCTTGGCTAATTTACCCCCTTTTAATTTTCATTTTTAAAAATAAAGATTATGAAAAATTTAGGCAACTGAAAATTTAAAATATCAAAAAATAAAAAATAAAATATTTTATTTTACTCTTTAAATCCAAACAACCTTAATTATATAAATATTTTAATGATAATTTTTTAATTAAAAATAAAAAATTTTAAATTTAAACCATATAATATACAAATAACTTAAGAAAATATATGTTGTTGCTCATCCTCCATATAAAAAAAAATTTTATTGCTATAATTTTATAGCACTTTTCTCCTAAAAAAATCAAAAAAAAATTGGGCGACCCGGGTAAAATTTCTAGCTGTCTAGGGTATTCCGCCTCACGCCACTACACTTCATTTCATAGTTCCTCTGCTTTCCTCCATTTCTCGATTAGGGTTTAGTTCTGCTCCGAAGAAGGAAGAGAAGGAGAAGAAGAGAGGATACTTGGAGAGAAGGGAGAATGGGGTTCTCAATGCAACCTTACGGGATACAGGCTATGCTCAAAGAAGGGCACAAGCATTTGTCTGGTCTCGAGGAGGCAGTTCTTAAGAACATCGATGCTTGCAAGGAGCTCTCTGTTATCACACGCACTTCTCTAGGCCCGAACGGTACTTCTGTCTGCGTTAATCCATTTTTTAGATCAAGAACTGCCTTTTTCGATTCATTTGATTACACTCTGATTTCAGCCTTTCTCCTTCTCTTTTGGCTTCTTAAACGTTTAGTGGGTATACCTGATTTAGTGCTGTTAGGGTCTTACTTCATTTTCTTTGTCTGGGAACAAATAATATGTATAGGAGAACAAGACAGTTTCTGACTTCTAAGTTTAAGATATTGACGACTAAGAAATTTTATGCTGAAATTAGCTCAGATGGAACGATTATATTGAGTAAATTTTGCAAAATATTGTTGTTTTTGTGAGAATTTAATTGTTTAGAGTAGTTGTGATTCATACCATAGTTCAATTTTAAAAAATATGCCAGAAATTTTGACATTTTGGATATGAAATGAAAATAAAACAGATGATGGCGTAGAATTTATGTCGGTGTTAAGAATAAATCAGCTGACCTAAAACCATGGTCTTATTATTTTTCCCTAATAAGCAATTTCCCATTTTTCTTCTTTCACTGATTATTTTTCTATAGGAGGTTTTCCTCATTATCATTATATACTTACCTTGAACTCAGGTATGAATAAGATGGTTATAAATCATTTGGACAAGCTCTTTGTCACAAACGATGCAGCTACTATTGTGAATGAGCTTGAAGTTCAACACCCTTCTGCCAAGATATTGGTTCTGGCTGGCAAGGCTCAACAGGAAGAGATTGGTGATGGGGCTAATTTGACGGTTTCGTTTGCTGGAGAGCTTCTCCAAAATGCAGAGGAGCTTATCAGGACTGGTCTGCACCCAAGTGAGATCATTAGCGGATATACCAAAGCTATCAAAAAGGTTTCCTTAATACTTTGCCAAGTGGCTGGAATGGAAAGATGATTCTCAATTTTCTATTTTTTTGGATAAATTATGCTGTTCTAATTCATATTTCGTTTATATGCAGACTACTGAGATTTTGGATGAGCTTGTGGAGAAAGGTTCAGAAAATATGGATGTCCGGAATAAGGAGCAAGTTATTACCCGAATGAAAGCTGCTGTTGCTAGCAAGCAATATGGACAAGAAGATGTTTTATGTTCTCTTATAGCTGATGTAATCTTAAATACCTTTCCTTTTTTTTTTTTCTGTGATTAATTTTTTTCCTTACCTCTTAGTCTAATCCTGGTTACACTTTTCTTCCCCCTTTTTATACACTAGGCATGCATCCAAGTCTGCCTCAAGAATCCAGCAAGTTTTGATGTTGATAATGTGCGTGTTGCAAAGGTTTTGGGAGGAGGTTTGCATAACAGTGCAGTAGTTCGAGGTATGGTTTTGAAAAGTGATGCAGTGGGAAGTATAAAGCAAATGGAAAAGGCAAAGGTCAGGATCAATTTTTCTATTTATTTCATCATTTTTGTTCCAAATTATGTTTTACATAAGTTGGTCTTTTCCCCAACAAAAAAAACTTATGAGAGAGAGAGAGAGAGAGAGAGAGAGAGAGAGAAAGGAGCATCATATCAATTTTTATATGCTTGGATCCAAATTGGCTTTTAGTTTTTGTAACAATAATCCACAGTTTGATACCAGGGGGACATGATATGCGTTAGAATTTAATTTACCAAAAGTATTTTCACATGGATGGGAGCCATGTCATGATTGTCAATCAAAAACTCAGTTTATGCCATTGCTAGAGATGTAATGTGTTAGATGTGGAAGGATCTAACTATTATTGCTAGGAGTTTCATCGCTAGAGATGTATGTTATGTTAGGGTTGTCACCCTGTCAGGATGATATAACGTAATGTTATATTAGGGGTGTCACCCTGTCAGGATGATATAACGTATGTTAGGATTCAAAGTAGCAAAGTATTTCACATGTGAATGGATGCCTTTTTCATGAACAGCGTAAAAAGGCCCTCTCAAATTGTGTCATTGTGTCCTATGGATTACTGTCACACCAATATCCTGACTTGGATTGTTTATGCCAGCTACCAGAATAGTTATCATTGACAGCTCTATAATTTGTTATTGAAAAGTTGGATTTCTTGTTAGTCCTGGAATCTCTGACATTTATGTATGCATTGTCCTTTTGAAGGTAGCTGTGTTTGCTAGTGGTGTTGATACCTCTGCCACTGAAACAAAGGGAACTGTCTTAATCCACAGTGCCGAACAGGTATGGCTAAAGGATTCCTCTGGTTCTTGCAAAACCATGTGTGGCCTTGCATGCACTATGTTGAATTCATTATAAAATATTTTTTCTTAAAATTGTTTGGTTGATGTTAGAAGTGCCTTATGTGGTAGATTGGATTACCATTTCATTCACATGTAATCTACTACTGTTAATGTAATGATGTCTGCTTCTTCAATACTTGTGTCATGCCTTAACTCTTTTCCCACTTTATTCCTATTTTCAAATGCCTTCCCAAAGTATTTAAATTATAAAACGCTTCTTTTACTTGTTTGATGCTAAAACGCAGCTAGAGAATTATGCAAAAACTGAAGAAGGTAAGGTTGAGGAGCTCATCAAAGCAGTGGCTGATTCTGGTGCCAGGGTTATTGTCAGTGGGGGAGCAGTTGGTGAAATGGCACTGCATTTCTGTGAGCGTTACAAGTACATCAAGCTTCCTAGTTCTTTTTTTTTTTTTTATTGTCTCTAATAGTTCTGTCCATTATTCTTTCTTCTCTTTATCAGAAGATGCAAGCATGTTAAAGGATTTTATACCTGCCAAAAATGGGATTTTGTTTCTTCAGTACAGCCTTGGATTCTCCTATATTGCAATTTTTTTGCTATTAGATTGCACCAGATATCTGAATATGTTTTTATCTTGGTCCTCCTTTGCATTGGCTTTTAACTTTGAAGATTCTCCTTGCAGGCTAATGGTCTTAAAAATTAGCTCTAAGTTTGAACTGCGACGATTTTGCCGCACAACTAGTGCTGCTGCTCTTGTAAGCATGCTATTATTAGATTATGTTGGAAAGTGTATGTTTAGCTTTCTAATATACCCTAATTCTTCTTACAGTTGAAACTCAGCCAGCCAAAACCAGAAGACTTGGGATATGTTGATTTAGTTTCAGTTGAGGAAATTGGTGGTGCTCGGGTAGGTTTGAAGAATTTGCTTTGGTCATGTTATCTTCATTCCAATTTTTTGTTTACATTTTAGTGTCTTTCTTCTTCAACTATAGGTCACTATTGTACAAAGTGAAGAAGGTGGAAACAGAGTTTCTACTGTGGTTCTTCGAGGAAGTACTGATAGTATATTAGATGATCTTGAGAGAGCTGTTGATGATGGAGTGAATACATATAAGGTGATTTGGTTTAATATTTCTTTTATCTTTCTTTTCTTCCAACCAGTTTGTAATTTTTCATCTCTATCTACTCTATTGTTTTTTTATGTTCTTCTGGGCCTTTGGAATGGTTGCTTGTGTTCTTTTTCAGATGTAAATTACATGGGCAGCTGTACAATTGTTTTTTGAATGCTAATATTTTTCCTTGGGGGTGGTCAGGCAATGTGCAGAGATAGTCGTATGCTACCTGGAGCTGCAGCTACTGAAATTGAGTTGGCTAGAAGACTAAAAGAGTTCTCTTTTAAAGAAACAGGGTAATTCTTATAATTTCCTTTTCTTTCGCTTCATCATCACCTAGAATTATTCTACATGTTTTACTTAATGTTCCTAAATCTGCTTGGCCAGTGGCCACCATTTCTTTCAGACAGAGGTGGACCATTTTATCTTACACATTTTGAAGCAACTATTGGGTTTATGTTTCACTTATTCTGAAATGTTGGTTTTAGCTAAGAAGGTGGCTTATTAACCTAGCTTTTACAATTTTGCTGCAGATTGGATCAGTATGCTATTGCTAAATTTGCTGAAAGTTTTGAAATGATACCAAGAACTCTGTCAGAGAATGCTGGGCTGAATGCTATGGATATCATATCTAAGTTGTATGAAAACCATGCATCTGGAAATACCAAAGTGGGTATTGACTTGGAGGCTGGTGAGACAGGTGAAGATGTTTGTAAGGATGTATCAATCATGAATGTTTGGGATCTCTATGTCACTAAGTGAGCTTCCTTTAACACCAAATTTTTTTCCTTCAATCTAGTGAATTCTAATTTTTCATAATCTGTTTGCAGTCATGCTGTTTACTTCTTGTAAACTAGGTTATCATAGATTAAATAGCTAGATCTGGTTATTGTTTTGAGAAATTTGAACTTGGCCAATCCTTTAACTGCTTTTAACTTATTCATTTTTGGAAAATTTTCTTGTTCTGTATGGGACTAGGGGAGGTGAATAGTGGGTTTCTTATGTTGAGTGTGATATTTCATAGGTGAACCTCACAGTTGCTTTTAAAGAGTTTTCCAGGTACTGGGTTAAGTGTCTGATGGTGGTCATTGCTTTTCTCTGACTGATCAGAGATTAGTTAACTGTTTGCAATGACTAGATTTTGAAATTTCTGTACAAAGAAGGTTCAAAAAGTATGACTATGAGTTTTTTTCATGATTATGAAAAGCAGACCACACGTTAAGGGTTATAGCTTATCACTATATTGTCAACTTGTTATAGAATATATATTGGTATGGAAATTATGTCCAAAATAATTTAATATTGTGTTTTCCTACAGGTTCTTTGCTCTTAAGTATGCAGCAGATGCTGCTTGCACTGTTTTACGAGTAGATCAGGTAATTCACCAGAAAGAGGGAACCTGATGCCAAAACACTGTTCTGCGTTAATTTAGATTCAAACATTTTTCTTGAAATTCTTTTCATGCAAGTTAGTTGACCGTATATCTGGTGTTGAAATTGCAGATCATAATGGCAAAACCAGCTGGTGGTCCAAGGAGAGAGCAACCCGCAGGGATGGATGAGGATTAGCCTGTGCGCACTGAAAGCAATCAAATTATCCTTGTCATTTATATCATCGGGCTGGTTTCTGAACTTGTTCAGGCATCTCTTTTCTTTTAGATGCCAAAACACTAGTGCTTGGAAAATTTTGTTTGTTATTTCAAAAAGAACAATGGTTTTGTACCTGCTTCTATGCTAGCCGTTAGTGTTTCTCTACTGTTATACAATCAGATGGCTGTAATCCTCAACTGAAAAGCTGATGACTTATTTATCCCATTTTTTTTGAGAGTCAAGCTGTTGGTTTGTTTATATTTATTAGTGAAGCTTGGTTGCTTGTGTGATTTCTTAAATGAGTCGGGCTTGACAACTATGACTTGAATTCACGCGCTCAAGTATTTGGTTCAGCTCAAGCTCGTTTATGGTTCAGGTATTAGGGGTTTTTTTTTT